GCAATGTAAGCGACGGAACAAATTGTGAAAATAAATAGCTGCAACTAGTGCACTGCATCGCGCCTTGTGTACAAGTTCTGTTGTCGACCTGGGCTTTCTTCGAAATTGCATTCAAGCACATCTTTAGCATTTGCACTGTCTTACGAATCTACTTAAAGGCACATGAATCATTTTTGAGTCTCGCTCTTATGGAATAGTAAAAATAGATGACAAGGTTCGTAAGAACCCAACCGTGAATGATCAGCAGCAATGGCATACCCTTTGGAACTACTTCCTTCATTATTCGCCCAGGTTCTGTGATAACGCTTTTCGAGGCTCAAGAAGAGGCAAGCATTTCCACTGACTAAGCAAGCAGCCAGGCGTTGAGCTGTAATTGGTTATATGGTGTTGACAAAGAGCCTTGACTTGAGGGATCAACTCTGGATTGCCCTTCGCGCCCGTGGGACAACTTATATTAGAGAAGATCAAAGGTTTACCTAAAAGAGCTGCTTGAGCAACCCAGCTGAATGTGTGCAAATTCGGAACACTTTCTATCGTATCGCCCTCATCGAGTTTCCATATGAAGTCGTAGTTTTTGAAAATTTTTGCCACTTCGATTATGGCTTTACGAAAGTACTTGGGCATCTGAAATACAATTGAATAAGTGAGACATCTTTGAATTTAAGGGCTCATCACTACTCAGCTTCAACATAATCAGTAACTTCACCTCCTTCGTTGGTGCAACAGAGCCGAATGAAATATACACCACACCGATTTTTGCCTGCTCCACAATTTTTCGTAATTCCTAAAATAATTCAGAAAAGGAAACCGTCACAAGAGAGCTGCATTTGATAAATCACCTCTGACAATGGAGTGGGTCCCAGCAGCGTAATACCACCAACGTGAACGATTTTCGGTGATAATGGGCGCCCAAAGACTAGGAATTCGTCTGTGTTTGACAGTAAATAGTTGATTTTGCTCTTGTAGTATTCCTCATCGGTAGTAACGCCATGGTGGCGCCATACTTCCTATAATGAATAATGTACTTGGCATGCTCGCACTACAAAGCGTAGAAGAATGAAAGTGATGAATGAATGAAATTGTGGAAAAAACTCATGAATATACTGGTTGAAGGCTATTGACACGATTACATTGAAAGGAATTGACAGACTGTTGTGAGTTCATACCGTTACCGAAAAATGGGTACAACCAACGTTATGTGTAACTTGAGTAGATGTACCAGAAATATCGATTTCTGAGTAAGACTTCTAGTATTTATGCAAACTATCCAAAATAGAGCGATGAAATGAACATCTCCGACCCTTCGGATTTCCCCTTTGGATGTGATCAGAGAGTAGATGTACAGTACTCGCCGTTTGAAATCGAAAATTCACGCGAATAACGCGAATCCTCGTTAATTTCGTGAATTCGTTAGAACTATCTTTGAATTCAGCTCGTCGGACACTATAAGAATGTGCTTTGATACTTGGAAAAGCTCCATATAGGATTGCGCCATGCACTCGATTTTCATCTCAAAAAGTAGTTGCTCGCATGTGATGTGTATATAATCCCGCTTATGCGGGCTGACCGCTACACACAGAGAAGGGCCTCAAAACTTACCCCAGAATGCGCCACGTACTCAATCTCATCCACTACATTGTGAGATTGGATGAATGTTATTTTCCGAATTCTTAGATCTTCATTTCGTTTTTAAGCGCTTACTGGCTTTACGTGTTCCCTCTGCTCTCAATATCCCATCCTCTGTATATCAAGTGGAATCTTTGAACAGTTCTCAGCAGGCATAGTGGGCCTATTATGTGACATTTTCCATTTTCAGAGGACATGTTTTGCAGAAAGCTGTGAAGATAGCGAACAATTTCCTTCACTGTCGTAGACTACGGTCACTTGTCTGTAAGGATTATATGGAATTAGTCGTCCAGTGAGCGTTCTTATCCGTGATGTACTCCAATAATCACCTCCTTTCTATCCTTAGTCCCCTACCTACTGCATCCATTAGAGGAATGTTTTGTAGAAAGCTGTAAAGGAAGCGAAGAATTTCCTTCACTGTCGTATACTTGGTTTGTCTGTAGGAATTATGTGGAAAACTCGGTCGCAAGTAAGCGTTCCTTCCGTGGTGTGGCCCCAAACATGCCTCCTCGTCATGCCCTTGTGGAATGTTCAGATTTTTTGCATTTCCAGATGAACTCGCAGACCTGAAATGTGCCCCGTTAGCTTCCCCGTGAAAAATGCTATCGAATGATATGCATTACTTCCCCAGTTGTAAACTTTGGTTTTTCACCGATCGTTTTCACACCTTCCTATTACATTACTGCCCCAAAATCTCAAAGTTTCATTTTTCGTCGAAACTTTGTCTATTGGGGTAATTCGATGCCCTGATTACGAATATGACATTCATTTTTGATGCTGGTGTCATTTGGCGCCATTTGGCGCCGTTTGGCGCCAATTTGGCGCCACGGCTGTTTTCACCAAATCTGCTGAAACTTCGTCATTTGGGGTTATTTGGGGTCCTGATTACGAAAACGACACCCGTTTTTGGCGCTGGCGCTCTGTTTCCACCAAATCCGCTGAAAACGTGTGTATAGGGGTTATTTGGGGTCCTGATCACGAATATAACATCCAGTCTTGAGCCCATGTGGTGTCACAAACAACACTTCACAGTCAGAGCGTACTCTTAGGCACCTTTCTCAGAGCGCCGACTGTCAGACCGTGGAAAAGGTCATCGAATCGGAGACTTTCCCACGACAGGAAGGAGCCAGAAGCATGTTTCACGTTTTCGACAACGGAGAATAACGATGGCTCTTGCTACTCTTTAGCGACACAATCGTCAATGAGAGCTACTGGGCTTAGCCTTGAAGGACGTGTACGAGACGCTCAAGTTGAATAATCTGCACTTACTGGTTGCGATCCATGGGGTTGATGTCTGTGCCACTATGCCATTCATGTCAACGATCCATGAGCCTGATCAACGACGAACGGCACAACGGCTGGATTTGCAATCGTCGAGCGTGCCGCACTGGACCGTCGAACGAGACCAGGGTCTACGTTCATGCCCGAAAGGATTCCTTTTTCGAGAACTGTAACTTTCCTGAGTCCACGGTGTTCGCACTGCCCTATTTCTGGCTGCGCGACATGGGCAAGGTGAAGGACAAGGAATACGAGCTCAATGTCGGCCACACCAGTTCAATTCAGTGGGAGCGGTTCTTCCGCGACGTATGTGTGGGGCACTTCAGGAGGAACCCGCCGATCATCGGAAGGTTCGGGTGCGAGATGGAAATTGACGAAACACTGGTTATCAAACGCAAATACAACCGCCGACGTTGGGTACGCAGGCACAAGTGGCTGTTTGGAGGCATTGAAAGAGGAAGTGGACTCCTTCGGATGGTCCGAAGGAAAGACGTTTCAACTCTACTGCGGCTCATCATGAAGTACATCGAGCCCGGTACTACCATCCTCAGTGACAGCTGGAGAGCTTACAGTCGAATTGCTGCTCTGCCCAACGCATACAGGCATCTCCAGTGAAAACGTGAAATATGCTTCTGGCTTAGCTCACAGTTTTCCACGGTCTGGCTCCTTCCTGTCGTGGGAAAGTCTCCGATTCGATGACCTTTTCCACGGTCTGTCGGCGCTCTGAGAAAGGTGCCTAAGAGTACGCTCTGACTGTGAAGTGTTGTTTGTGACACCACATGCGTCAAGACTGGATGTTATATTCGTGATCAGGACCCAAATAACCCCTATACACACGTTTTCAGCGGATTTGGTGGAAACAGCGCCAGCGCCAAAAACGGGTGTCGTTTTCGTAATCAGGACCCCAAATAACCCCAAATGACGAAGTTTCAGCAGATTTGGTGAAAACAGCCGTGGCGCCAAATTGGCGCCAAACGGCGCCAAATGGCGCCAAATGACACCAGCATCAAAAATGAATGTCATATTCGTAATCAGGGCATCGAATTACCCCAATAGACAAAGTTTCGACGAAAAATGAAACTTTGAGATTTTGGGGCAGTAATCGTGGGATAAGGGGAATGCTGAAAACGGTGAAAAACCAAAGTTTCAACTGGGGAAGTAATGCATATCATTCGATAGCATTTTTCACGGGGAAGCTAACGGGGCACATTTCAGGTCTGCGAGTTCATTTGAAAATGCAAAAGATTCTGA